TGTGTGTGTTTACCGCACTGAAACAGCCAAAGACTGGAGATTTACAGGCTCATCCGTGTGTTTTTAGCACCACCTGGTGGCTCCAGAGGACATTTCTACATGGTTTCTACAAGGAGCGCTGGGCTGTGTTCTAGTTCAGTTTTAAGGCCCTCACTCACTTCCCTCCGCCTTGTTTACTTGGATGTATGTCACTACTGATGGAGCATCTGAATGGGTTACAACATCAACCATCTAAATGGGTATATAAAACATCTGAATGGGTAAACAAAAATAAAACAGACAAAACAAAAAAATCTGAATGAGTTTAAAATCTACAGAAGAAAAAAATCTTGTTATTAATAAAAAAAAGAAAGGAAACTCTTGTTATTGAAAAGTCATGTTATTACGACATAAACGACGTAACTCATTATAACGACTTTTGACAATTGATGTTTTAGTTCAATATGTAATTTTAATGGCACGTTTTGTTATAACATATTATTTCAGTATAACGACTTAATATTTCAACATTATGACGGGAGATATTAAGCCATTTTAACAACTAAATATTTCAATATTACAACATATCTTGTTATTTCAATATATTAAGTCGTTTTATCGACATTTTATAACAACTTTATATTTTGATTTTATGACATCTAGTTATTTCGAGATATTAAGTAGTTTTAACGACATAATATTTGGTTATAACGCCTAAATATTTCGGTATTACTACATTTAGTTATTTTGAGATATTAAGCGGTTTTAACAACATAATATGCGGTTATAACGACTAAATGTTTTGATATTACAACATATCTAGTCATTTCCAGATATTAAGTCATTTAATCGACATATCTTTTTATAACAACTTAATATTTCAATATTATAGCATATCCTAAAATCGACATAAAGTCATTTTATTGACTTATAACGACTTACTATTTCGATATTACGACTTATCTAGTTATTTCGAGATATTATGTAATTCTATTGACATATAGCAACTTAATATTTCGATATTACAGCATATCCTATTTCGACATCGTCATTTTATCAACATATTATAACGACTTAATATTTCAATATTAAAACATATCTAGTAATTTTGAGATATTAAGTAGTTTTAATAACAATAACAATATATCGTTATGATGATTAAATATTTTGTTATTATGACATAAGTACTTATTTTGAGATATTAAGCCATTTTATTGACATAACTTAATATTTCAATACTACAGCATATCTTATTTCGACATCGTTATTTTATCAGCATATTATAACGACTAAATATTTTGATATTAGATCATGTCTAGTTATTTCAAAATATTAAATACTTTTAATGACATAACTCGTTATAACGAGTAATTATTTCAAAATCACGACATATCTAGTTATTTCGACATATTAAGACATTTTGTCGACATTATAATGACTTAATATTTTGATGTTGACATCTTGTTATTTCGAGATATTTTAACGACATAATTTCTCGTTATAACGACTAAATATTTAGGTATTACAACATCTAGCTATTTTGAGATATTAAGTAGTGTTAACGACATAATATGTGCTTATAACAACTAAATATTTTAATATTATGACATCTAGTTATTTCGATATATTAAGTCATTTTATTGACATATCATAACAACTAAAAATTTCGATATTATGGCATATCTTATTTCGACATTGTCATTTTACCGACATATTATAACAACTTAATATTCCGATATCCCAACATATCTACTTATTTCGGGATATTAAGTAGTTTTAATGACATAATATATCATTATAACGACTAAATATTTCGATATTAGGACGTATCTATTTATTTCAATATGTTAAGTCATTTTATTGACATATTATAATGACTTACTATTTTGATGTTGATATCTAGTTATTTCGAGATATTAAGTCGTTTTAACGACACAATATCTGGTTATAACGACTAAATATTTCGATATTATGACATCTAGTTATTTTGAAATAGTCATTTTATCGACATATTATAATGACTTCATATTTCGATATTATGGCAAATGTTGTTATTTTGAGATATTAAGTAGTTTTAATAAGTACATTTTTCGATATTGTTTTAAAAACAAACAAATAACATCTAAATGGGTTTAAATGGATTGCCATAAACTCTTGAGCACTTGAGAACCACACTGTTGTGACGTCTCAATCGCATTGCATTCTGGGTCAGTGACGAAGTGGACATATGAAGCCAACTCGCTCCCTCAGTCAAAATCAAGGGTATGTCCATGTAAACTTCCCTCGATCACTTGATGAAGTGGAACACACTTTTAAAAGGCAGCAATGAGGGAACAAGAGAAGGGAAGTTCCTGAGTGTGTGTCTGAGTGGAATAGAACGCAGCCCAGACTGTAAATGAAGATGGACACACATCTGGGGCATTAAAGCACTGCACTTGTGTCACAGATGTGCTGGTGAAATGCAAGATCACTGAACAGCAGACATGAATATGTTCTCTCACACACACACACACACACACACACACACACACACACACATCTGATGGAATGTCTTTTCCTGATTTTCTCTGACCATTTAATAAAAGCACTCCGTTCCTATCAATGTAATAGTGTTCATTTCAATACTGTTTTTACACTTGCTGTACATTTCAGTTTGGTTTGTTTCATTAATGGTTTTGTGTCGTTTCCATTTTGTGAACACGGTTCTGTTTAGTTTTTATATATAGTTCTGTTATAATAGTTTATTGAAGAGCACTCGTTCAGCGTAGTTTAGTGTCATATTCACTCTTGTACAAAACTCTTGGTGATTGAAAATAATATTAAGGCAACCATAACGGCAGCCTTAGCCAGCGTCAGGATGTGGACACACTGGGGCGTACATAATACTGGGACAGGAAATAAAGGTAAAAAAATATGCAAGAATTACACTCATCGGCCACTTTATTCGGTACACCTGACTAGTAACAGGTTGGACCACTTTTGCCTTCAGAACTGCTGTAATCCTTCATGGCAGAGATTCAACAAGCTACTGGAAATATTCCTCAGACATTTTACTATATATTGACATGACAGCGTCACGCAGTTGCTGCAGATTTGTCGGCTGCATGATGCCAATCTCCCGTTCCACCACATCCCAAAGCTGCTCTATTGGATTGAGCTCTGGTGACTGTGGAGGCCATTTGAGCACAGTGAACTCATCGTCATGTTCAGCAGTCTGAGATGATTGAGCTTTATGACATGCTGCGTTATCCTGCTGGAAGTAGCCATCAGAAGATGGAGACACTGTGCTCATAAAGGGATGGATATGGTCAGCAGCAATACTCAGGTAGGCTGTGGCGTTGATGCTCAATTGGTACTAATGGACCCAAAGAAAATCTCCCCCACACCATTACACCACCACCACCAGCCTGAACCGCTGATACAAGGCAGGATGATCCATGCTTTCATGTTGTCTGAGCCGAGCATCCGAATGTGTGAGCAGAAATGGAGACTCATCAGAGCAGGCAACGTTTCTCCAATCTTCTATTGTCCAGTTTTGGTGAGTCTGTGTGAATTGTAGCCTCAGTTTCCTGTTCTTAGCTGACAGGAGCGGCACCCGGTGTGCTCTTCTGCTGCTGTAGCCCATCCGCCTCAAGGTTGGCCGTGTTGTGTGTTTAGAGATGCTCTTCTGCAGAGCTCGGTTGTAACGAGTGCTTATTTGAGTTACTGTTGCCTTTCTATCAGCTGGAACCAGTCTGGCCATTCTCCTCTGACCTCTGGCCTCATCAACAAGGCATTTGCGCCCACAGAACTGCCGCTCACTGGATATTTCCTCTTTGTCGGAGCATTCTCTGTAAAGCCTAGAGATGGTTGTGCATGAAAATCCCAGTAGATCAGTTAAAACTATGAGCAGAAATGTGTTGAAATTGGGGAAATATTCAGGCGGGTTATTAATTCTGACTTCAGCTGTATATTTCAGAAAAGCTAAATATTGCCAATGCCGCGCAGATCTATTTTTAACACACGTGTGTGTGAGTCTGATCAGAAGCACACAGTGACCTCTGACCCGTCAGCACCAAATCAAACTAAAGCAGCTGAGTGTGGTTTTGCGAGGCAGAGGTTTGTAATCTTTCCAGGCGTGAGAATAAAAAACCCAAGACGCATCTTTAGCGCTGTGGCCAGACCTTCATCTCTCGCCACCGCTTCCGGCCTGCGCATCAAGACTCTGGCGCCACACGCTTTCAAGTTCTCCAGAAGCCTCGTGTGCATGTTAAACACAACCACACACACACACACACACACACACACACGCACACGCACTCGTCTCAGACACTCGGCTGTATTAATATTATCAGCCTTTAGACTGGCATCCTACCCACATGCATGACCTCCTGCACATGGGTTATTTTAGGGGGGAATATCACATCATTTCTTTCTATCTATCTGTCTGTCTGTCTGTCTGTCTGTCTATCTATTTATCTATCTATCTATCTTTTGGTGTCTGTCACTTTAAATGCAAATGAGACTGTGCTCTTTTCCGAAGAGGGCGGAGCTAAACATGCCTGTATGTCAATATAGTGGCAGATTCAAACACTTACGGCTAATTGACAGACGGCTGCTGTCTATGCTAATGAGGGAGAGATGGGCACTAGTGGGCGGGGCTTTCCCCCTCTGATGACACGTACAAAGGGAGAATGTCAATCAAAGTGTTTCTGCAGACTGTTTTATCAAGTCTGATTAGATTAAATAGAATTAACTCATGTTTACTATTAGAGGCTGGAGATATTCACACACTGCTGACACACAACTGGAGTTAAACCTCTTATGAAAGTGATTTCTGCATAATAGGTGCCCTTTAAGATCTGCAACACAATATTTTAGGTAATCTAAAACCTTTTAATTCCTGAAATTTTACTTTTAAAATTTAAGACCCCTCGGACACCCTGCCGAGTAAAAGTGTGTACTGTCTCTTTAAGAGCCATCATTTATTAGTAGAGTGTGTGCCTGTCCAGAACAACAGAAAGCCAAAAACAGACATCTGCTGAGCATTTCTTTGATTTTATTGTTTAAAATCTCATATATTTTTTGGTTCTTTACAAGGGCAGACAGAATGGGATGGCCTGGAGTTGTGCGAGACACGTCGAGGTGTACAAAAGAACATAGTGTTTCTGCCGAGCGGATCAAATAACCTTGTTTACTTTGTTTTCTTTGACACAGAAGAGATTAAATATCATTTATGGTATATTACGCTCATTTCATTAAGAAACAAATTGCACGGGTCATGTTTTCTGTGCGCATACGAGAACAGGACAGCGCGAGACGGCTTCCCGCGAGGGCCACACAAACTCCAGAATCTTCCGCAAACCCAGCAGACATTGACACGGTAAAACAACATGAAGCTAATCAATGCAAACCTCACTCCACTCCGCCGCTGATTTACTCTACGGGTGACGTGTGTGTTCCTCTAGTGTATCTGCGCTGCGATTGGTGGAGCCGCATTACATGTCCAGCAGCAGCACCCGCGGGTCCTCCACCACAGACTTGATCTTCCTGAGGAAAGTGACCGCCTCTCTGCCGTCAATCAAGCGGTGGTCGTAGGTCAGAGCCACGTACATCATCGGCCGCACCTCCACCTGACACGAAGAGAGAGAGAGAGAGAGAGAGAGAGAGAGAGAGAGAGAGAGAGAGAGAGAGAAAGAGAGAGAGAGAGAGGAGAGGAATAAATAAATAAGAGGACATTAACATTCAGTTCTCCCAATGGGATTATTTCAACAACTCTTGAGTTAAACGAGTTGTGTCAGTGTTGCTAAATATCAAATTATTTAGTGTATCTGATGTAACGCAATAAGTAAACACAGTTTAACTTTCCAAAAGGACATTATTAATACAGTTCTGCTAAAAAATGCATGAGAAATCAAGTCTGCGATTTTTAAAATTCATTGCTATTCTCTCGAGTCTTAACAACGCTCTAGGCTAGTTTATAACAGTAGATGGCGCTCTAGGCTAGTTTATGACAGTAGACGACGCTCTAGGCTAGTTTATAACAGTAGACGACGCTCTAGGCTAGTTTATAACAGTAGACGACGCTCTAGGCTAGTTTATAACAGTAGACGGCGCTCTAGGCTAGTTTATAACAGTAGATGGCGCTCTAGGCTAGTTTATAACAGTAGACGATGCTCTAGGCTAGTTTATAACAGTAGATGGCGCTCTAGGCTAGTTTATAACAGTAGACGACGCTCTAGGCTAGTTTATAACAGTAGATGGCGCTCTAGGCTAGTTTATAACAGTAGATGGCGCTCTAGGCTAGTTTATAACAGTAGACGACGCTCTAGGCTAGTTTATAACAGTAGACGACGCTCTAGGCTAGTTTATAACAGTAGATGGCGCTCTAGGCTAGTTTATAACAGTAGACGACGCTCTAGGCTAGTTTATAACAGTAGATGGCGCTCTAGGCTAGTTTATAACAGTAGACGACGCTCTAGGCTAGTTTATAACAGTAGATGGCGCTCTAGGCTAGTTTATAACAGTAGACGACGCTCTAGGCTAGTTTATAACAGTAGACGACGCTCTAGGCTAGTTTATAACAGTAGACGACGCTCTAGGCTAGTTTATAACAATAGACGACGCTCTAGGCTAGTTTATAACAGTAGACGACGCTCTAGGCTAGTTTATAACAGTAGACGACGCTCTAGGCTAGTTTATAACAGACGGCGCTCTAGGCTAGTTTATAACAGTAGACGACGCTCTAGGCTAGTTTATAACAGTAGACGACGCTCTAGGCTAGTTTATAACAGTAGACGGCGCTCTAGGCTAGTTTATAACAGTAGACGGCGCTCTAGGCTAGTTTATAACAGTAGATGGCGCTCTAGGCTAGTTTATAACAGTAGACGACGCTCTAGGCTAGTTTATAACAGTAGACGACGCTCTAGCCTAGTTTATAACAGTAGACGGCGCTCTAGGCTAGTTTATAACAGTAGACGGCGCTCTAGGCTAGTTTATAACAGTAGATGGCGCTCTAGGCTAGTTTATAACAGTAGACGACGCTCTAGGCTAGTTTATAACAGTAGACGACGCTCTAGGCTAGTTTATAACAGTAGACGACGCTCTAGGCTAGTTTATAACAGTAGACGACGCTCTAGGCTAGTTTATAACAGTAGATGGCGCTCTAGGCTAGTTTATAACAGTAGATGGCGCTCTAGGCGAGTTTATAACAGTAGATGGCGCTCTAGGCTAGTTTATAACAGTAGACGACGCTCTAGGCTAGTTTATAACAGTAGACGACGCTCTAAGCTAGTTTATAACAGTAGACGACGCTCTAGGCTAGTTTATAACAGTAGACGACGCTCTAGGCTAGTTTATAACAGTAGACGGCGCTCTAGGCTAGTTTATAACAGTAGATGGCGCTCTAGGCTAGTTTATAACAGTAGACGACGCTCTAGGCTAGTTTATAACAGTAGATGGCGCTCTAGGCTAGTTTATAACAGTAGACGACGCTCTAGGCTAGTTTATAACAGTAGACGGCGCTCTAGGCTAGTTTATAACAGTAGACGACGCTCTAGGCTAGTTTATAACAGTAGATGGCACTCTAGGCTAGTTTATAACAGTAGACGACGCTCTAGGCTAGTTTATAACAGTAGATGGTGCTCTAGGCTAGTTTATAACAGTAGACGACGCTCTAGGCTAGTTTATAACAATAGATGGCGCTCTGGGCTAGTTTTTAGGCTAGTTTTTAAACAGCAGATAGCGCTCTAGGCTAGTTTTTAACAGTAGATGGCGCTCTAGGCTAGTTTATATCAGCAGATGGCGCTCTAGGCTAGTTTTTAGGCTAGTTTTTAAAAAGCAGATGGCGCTCTAGGCTAGTTTTTAACAGTAGATGGCGCTCTAGGCTAGTTTATAACAGTAGATGGCGCTCTAGGCTAGTTTTTAACAGTAGATGGTGCTCTAGGCTAGTTTTTAACAGTAGATGGCACTCTAGGCTAGTGTATAACAGTAGAAGTTGCTCTAAGCTAGTTTTTAACAGTAGATGTCGCTCTAGGCTAGTTTTTAAACAGTAGATGGCTCTCTAAGCTAGTTTATAACAGTAGATGGCGCTCAAAGCTAGTTTTTAACAGTAGATGGCGCTCTAGGCTAATTTTTAAACAGTAGATGCCACTCTGGGCTAGTTTATAACAGTAGATGGCGCTCTAGGCTAGTTTATAACAGTAGACTGTGCTCTAGGCTAGGTTTGAACAGTAGACTGTGCTCTAGGCTAGTTTATAACAGTAGATGGTGCTCTAGGCTAGTTTTTAAACAGCAGATGGTGCTCTAGGCTAGTTTTTAGGCTAGTTTTTGAAACAGCAGATGGCGCTCTAGGCTAGTTTATAACAGTAGATAGCGCTCTGAGCTAGTTTTTAACAGTAGTTGGCGCTATAGACTAACTTTTAGGCTAATTTTTAAAAAGTAGATGGCGCTCTAGGCTTGTTAATAACAGTAGATGGTGCTCTAGGCTAATTTTTATGCTAGTGTTTAACAGCAGATGGCGCTCTAGGCTAGTTTTTAACAGTAGATGGTGCTCCAGGCCAGTTTTTAACAGTAGATGGTGCTCCAGGATAGTTTTTATGCTAGTGTTTAACAGGAAATGCTGCTCTCAGCTAGTTTTTAACAGCAGATGGTGCTATATGCTAGTTTATGGCAAAAGATGGTGCTATAGGCTAGTTTTAATGCTAGTGTTTTACAGCAAACCCTGGTCTATGCTAGTGTTTAACAGCAGATGGCACTCTAGACTAGTTTTTAACAGCAGGTGGTGCTCTAGGCTAATGTTTAACAGCAGACAACGCTCTGCAATGTTTTTCTCTTAATGAAACACACAGATGAATTGTTCCGCAAAAAAAACTAGCAATGTGAGCTAACAAAACCAATATGATTAGTTTGGATTTCATGTGTACTTTAAGAGTTTTCTTCACAGATCCTCCTGCTGATCTCTATTAGAATAATACACAATGCATTGACGCGTTTACCTTGCCAGCGATGGCCACAGGCCGGTCGAAGATGCCATGCATGCCCAGGATGGCAGACTGTGGCGGGTTGATGATTGGAGTTCCGAACATGGAGCCGAAAACTCCTCCATTGCTGATGGTAAACGTGCCTCCATCCATATCCTCCACAGCCAGCTCATTCTTACGGGCCTGTGGGCGAAAAATAACACCAAAACTAATCAGAAAGGAACAAGACTTTAAAATTTAACCCAATACAAACTAGGATTTTTTGCAGCCAATACAGACGGCGATTACTTCTCATGCTGATTGGCTGATTCTGATTCCAGTGATTTATAAATCCATATTAACAGACTTAATTTAGTTATGTTTATTTATTTGTTATTTATGTTATTTATTTTGCTGGTTCAAGTCCCGGCTGGGTCAGTTAATGTTTCTGTGTGGAGTTTGCATGTTCTCCCCGTGTTGGCGTGGGTTTCCTCCTGGTGCACCGGTTTCCCCCACAGTCTAAACCAGGGGTCGGCAACCCGCGGCTCTAGAGCCGCATGCGGCTCTTTAGCGCTGCCCTAGTGGCTCCCTGGAACTTTTTCAAAAAATATTTGAAAATGGAAAACGATGAGGGAGGCAAATATATTTTTTGTTTTAATATGGTTTCTATAGGAGGACAAACAATCTTAACGTTTTCCAATGCTGTAAAAGTGTGTAGAATATTTAATTTCAACATTTCTGTCAACGAAGATTTGCGTCATAGCCTGCGACACACGTGTCTATCAGCAGGGCGGGATGCCAGGCAGGTAGCTGTTGTAAACAATCCGGCGGCTGTGTGATGCGCCATGGAGCGCAAGCTGTCTTTGCCAAAGATGTACAGCGGGGCACGCTTTCTCATTTTGCCTCCCTGAGAGAATTCAAAGAAGCCCATCCCGATCACGAACTCAACGGTGATTATTTACAAGGTGCGATCGTTGATATGCAAACTGCATTTGGGAGCAGATTTTGTGAGTTGCGAAAGGAAAAAACGAGACTGTCTTTCCTTGACACACACCCTTGGAGATTGTCCCTTCCTTGTTGAGCACATTCCCAGGAATGACTCGAGCTGATCTTGAAATGGAAATGGCAGGCTGCGTTTTATTGCACTGTTTGTTGTCCAGATAAGGGGCACGTTGTGCACGTTCATTTTGATGTTGTTTTTTTGAATCCTCAAAATAAAAATAAAAAACATTAAAAAATCTGATTTCTTTATTGCATTTCTTTAATTTCATCAAAGCAAAACATAATGCAATAATATTGTAATTAAGTTAAACTTGATCATTAAACATAATTCATTAATATTGTAATGAAGTTAAACTTGATCATTAAACATGATTCATTAATATTGTAATGAAGTTAAACTTGGTCATTAAACACATTTCATTAATATTTTAATGAAGTTAAACTTGATAATTAAACAATGCATTAATATTGTAATGAAGTTAAACTTGATCATTAAACAATTCATTAATATTGTAATGAAGTTAAACTTGAACATCAAACATAATTCATTAATATACTGTAAGTTAAACTTGAGACGGCATCGTACAACAGAGTAGTCACGTGGCGCGTCATTCTCTACAAGATGCACTGCAGGGAAATGAACATTTAATCATGAAGGCTCAGTATGTATTTGTAGCCAACGAAGTCATTTTTTTAGTAGGCTAATATAGCTAATATAAATACATACAGCATGTGTTGCCATCATTATAAGGCTTATATAAGGCTTTTAATTTTTTGCGGCTCCAGACATATTTGTTTTTGTTTTTTTTTTTGTCCAATATGGCTCTTTCAACATTTTGGGTTGCCGACCCCTGGTCTAAACACATGCGCTATAGGGGAATAAACTAAATTGCCTGTATTGTATGTGAGAGTACGGGTGTTTCCCGGTGTTGGGTTGCGGCTGGAAAAGCATCCGCTGCATAAAACATATGCTGGATGAAATGTATTTTATCTGAAGAATTGTTTGAAGACTATGATATTAAAACAATTCAAAATAAACCAACTAATTATTTAATTCTCTTCAAACAGACAACAAATGTGGCGATTCGGCCGGTCATAGCAAACTGTTGTTGTGCGATATAATTGTCACAGAAATTGTTGAAATAAGCGATATTATTAATATTTTCAGATTTTATGCCACTGATTATATAACGATTACACTAGAAAAAGACAACAATTCAGTGGATTGACTACACACACACATATTTCTAATCATAATAGTGTTAATAACTCATCTCTAATAACGGACTGATTTTATCTTTGTCATGATGACAGTAAATAATATTAAAGATATTCTTCAAGACATTTTTATACAGCTTAAAGTGACATTTAAAGGCTTAACTAGGTTAATTAGGGTAACTAGGCAGGTTAGGGTAATTAGACAAGTCATTGTATAACGATGGTTTGTTCTGTAGGAAAAATATAGCTTAAAGGGGCGAATAATATTCACCTTAAAATGGTGTTTAAAAAATTAAAAACTGCTTTTATTCTAACCGAAATAAAACAAATAAAACTTGCTCCAGAAAAAAAAATATTATCAGACACACTGTGAACATTTGCTTGCTCTGTTAAACATCATTTAGGAAATATTTTAAAAAGACAAAAAAAAAAATCAAAGGGGGGGCGGATAATTCTGACTTCAACTGTACAGATTGGTTGCAAACAATTTATATAGGCTGAATTTCAACGACTAAATTAAGCTGAACATTACTACATGTCATTTAAGTATATATATAACTATATAATCTGCTGCCACTTACCTTTAAAAAATTTTGTAAATCCAATGATTCATTTTTTCAGTCTAATCAACAGCATAATAATGCAAACACTTTTAAGAGACAAAGACTTTTCTTACTTACAGTTATTTAGATTCTGAAATTGGGTGTTAAAAAGGTCTAATTATGCATGCACTATTAAACATCATGTTAGGTCAAAATCAAATTATAGACATTGACATCGGTGAAGTAGAATGTACATGTCACTAAAAATGACTTCGACGTTATTTGTGAGTTTGTAAATATTTATTGCATTAAGGTCATGTACAAGGTGATATATTAAGAGTCCCAGTGATAATAATGAACTCTTAAAAGACAAACCGCAGCACTTTTCAGAAATTGGACCGCTTTATTTTCCCATCAAATCGTCGCAGTAAGCGATATTATTAATATTTTCAGATTTAATCCCACTGATTATATAACGATTACACTAGAAAAAGACAACAATTCAGTGGATTTACTACTTTTGGTTTTCCAAGTGGTTGCAAAAATGTATATGGGCTGAATTTCAACAAATAAATTAAGCTGAACATTACTACATGTCATTTGTTTAAGTTCAGCCTATATAAATCGTTTGCAGCCACTTACCTTAAAAAAAATATAGTAAATCCAATGAATCATTTTTTCCATGTAAACAACAGCATCATAATGCAAACACAAAGAACTCTCACTTACTGTTATTTAGATTCTGAAATTGGTTGTTAAAAAGTAAATGTCCAATTATATACACTATTAAACATCATATTAGGCTAAAATCCAACTATACACTTTGACACTGGTGAGGTAGAATGTAAATGTCTTTATAAAATGGTGTTATTTGTGAGTTTGTAAATATTTATTGCATTAAGGTCATGTACAAGGTGATATATTAGAGTCCCAGTGATGATAATGAGCTCTTAAAAGACAAACCGCAGCGTTTTTCAGAAATTAAGCGGCTTTATTTTCCCATCACTTGACATTAGGCTTTACCAACGACACCAGCGCTGCTTTTTTAGGTCGTGTCATATTTATCTAAATAAAGATTTCTGGTTAGCTGCTCCATTTGCTGCTAAATAAGCAAGTCTTCAGACACATCCCCTTTACATTTAGTCATTTAGCAGACACTTCTGTCTGAAAGGCATTCAGCGATTCAGCAAGAGGCAACACACACAACAAGTGATGATTATACAGAGGAAACTCAGAGAATTAAGTGCAAGACGCAAGAGGGGGGAGAGTTTTTATAGAGAGAGAGTTTCCACAGGTGGTTTGTCAGGCCCACTCACCTGTGTGAGGCACACTTCACAAATGCACAGCGTGTTTATATTGACTATTTGTAATAAAGTGTCTGGTGCAAATGTAAAAATTGCTGCAAGTGTCAGAGAGGAAAGAGTGTTTTCTACAGGTGGTTTGTATAACCCACTCACCTGTGTGGGGCACACTAAGTATTAATCATGTTTTGAGACGCGCTCACCTTCTCTCCCAGCTCATTAATGGTCTTCTCGATGTCTGCAAAGTTCATTCCCTCCACACCTCTGATCACCGGCACCACCAGACCCTGCAGACACACACACCACACACACACTTGCATTATACACACACACACTATGGCACATTTGCATATTATTAACTTATCTGCATATCATTATGCTCATATACACACACACACTCAAAATACACTCATATATATATATATATATATATATATATATATATATATACACACACACACACACACACACACACACACACACAGATACCCATATACACATACACATTTGCATATCTGCAATTCATTATGCTCATATAAACACACTCAAATACACACAAATGCTCACACACACACACACACACACTCATATTCAGACACCCATATACACATACATGCATACCTCATTATTAACACTCTAACAATACACACACACACACACACCCATATACACATGCATATTATTTGCATATCTGCATATTATGCTCATATACACACACACTCAAACACATTCATACACACACACACACACATTCACTCATATTCAGACACCCATATACACATACACATTTGCATATTATTTGCATATCTGCATATTATGCTCATATACACACACACACACTCAAACACATTCACACACACACACTCACTCATATTCAGACACCCATATACACATACACATTTGCATATTATTTGCATATCTGCATATTATGCTCATATACACACACACTCAAACACATTCACACACACACACACATTCACTCATATTCAGACACCCATATACACATACACATTTGCATATTATTTGCATATCTGCATATTATGCTCATATAAACACAATCGAATACACACAAATGCACTCAACTACACACTCGTACACACACAAATACACACTCATATATACACGTGCTCACAAGCTGGTGATCACTGGTGACTCTGGTCAGAAATAAATGTGCAGGATTTTACCTTTGGTGTCGCCACCGCCACACTGATGTCCACATAATCCCGATACACGATCTCTTTGGTTGTGTCATCAATGACTGCACAGATCAAAACAAGCTCACTGAACAGCACTGAACAACTCAAAAATTGCCAGAAAACTTTATGACAAGCTATAAGGAAACACAAACAACGTAAAAAAAACATGAAATATTTAAGTAGAAAATGCAATACAGTCATTTCAGCATGCTTTAATCACTGTTGTAATGTAATGTAATATGTATTTATATAGCGCATTTATTGTGTATGGCCATACACCCAAAGCGCTTTACAATCATGAGGGGGGGTTTCTCCACACCACCACCAGTGTGCAGCATCCACTTGGATGATGCGACGGCTGCCACAGGACAACGGCGCCAGTGCGCTCACCACACACCAGCTATTAGTGGAGTGGAGAGACAGTGATAGAGCCAATTCGGTGGAAGGGGATGATTGGGAGGCCATGATCGTTAGGGCCGATAGAGGGACTTTGGCCAGGACACCGGGGTTACACCCCTGCTCTTTCACGAGAAGTGCCATGGGATTTTTAATGACCACAGAGAGTCAGGACAGAGAGTCAGTACTCTATTTAGTGTGTGCTTAATAGTACATAAACTCCACTTATCCAATCTCCTTAAAATAATAACCTGGTGACATTTATTCCACATTATTATTCAAGAATTTTATTTTTAGGCTTCACGGTGGCTCATTGGTCAGCATTGTGGCCTCAATGCTGAGAAGAAGAAGGTCGCTGGTTCGAATCCCAGCTGGGGATTAACTGCATTTAATATGTTTTATATATTTATTTTTAAACTAATTGAGCGAGAAACATTTCCACAAAAGACTTAACATGGGTGAAATCACACTACTTGCATTTGATATGTTGATGTTTTTTGTTTGTTTCATGCTAATGTGTTGAATATATTTAATATTTAATGCTTTTTGTTTTTATTTTATGTCTAATATATGTCTTTTTAAACGAGATGAGCATGAGGCACTTTCACAAAAACACTAAACATCAGTGAAATTAAGCATTTGCATTTAATATGTTTATGTATAAAAGTTTAGACTTTCAACCCTAACGTGATGCGAGCGCCACACTCTCGTCTTTAACGCACACATGCAGCAGTTTTGATGGATGATCAGTGGGTTTTGGTGCACATTTAGCACAGTGATGTTGTTTAAGAGTCTCCACTGCTGACCCTCTGGGCAAATATAGACACACACACACACACCAACTGCTGAAAGTGTGTTAAACGCAGATCTCGATGTAGGCCAAGCCAATGAGGTTGGGAAGGAAAGAGAGGAGGGGGGCGACAGAAAACTAATCTGCAGAACGAGTCCTTTAGACGACCACTAAACCACCAACCCAAACCAGAAGCTCAATCTGAAGAGGCCAGACGCTCGGCTCCACCAGCACACCTCTCTGTGTGTGTGTGTGTGTGTGTGTGTGTGTGTGTGTGTGTGTGTGTGTGTTAAGTATTTACAGCGGGTAAAGTAAGTACTGAACTCATCATTCATTTGCAAAAAAAATAAACAAAAAAAAAAAAGTCAAAACTTTGAGCGAAGGAAATTTTAAGGAGGATTTTTATTGTTGCCATATTACACAGTCCTAATAAAGACTATTCTAATAAAATTACCCAAAAATGTGTGTGTATGTGTGAGCATATGCGTGTATTTGAGTATATCCAGCAGATATAATGAGTTATTAACATGTCATAAAGTTACACAATAATAAAACATAAATAAAACATATAAACAATAAAAACAAAAATATCATAAAACATAAAAATAGTGAATCAATTTTATTTTTTGCCATACTGAGCAGCCCTACATTTTTAATTAAATTAACTAAAATTACTTTAAATTTAAATTACCTAAAAAAAATAAATAAATAAATATATATACATATATATATATATATATATATATATATATATATATATATATATATATATATATAGAGAGAATATATTGAAGATATATATATATATATATATTTATATAAATAATATATATATATATATATATATATATATATGTATATATATATATTTTTTTTTTTAAGGTAATTTAAATTTATATATATATATACATACATACATATATACACATTCATACACGTGTGTGTGTGTACTTTCAGTTAAGTAATTTAATTTACAGTACCTACTCCCATCCAACACTCGTGTGTTTTTATGTGCGTGTTCGCGCAAGTACGAGTCTGTGTGTGAGTCTGCATCTGTGTGCAGATTTGTTGAGTGTGCATTTGTGTGTGCATGTTTGCATGCTCATTTGAGTGTGTAACCCCGCCAGTCCTACAACACCCAACTCACTCCGAGCTGGGATCGAACCTGCAACTCTCCGCATGTTAGTCAGTTGCTCTAACAAGGAGGCTATAGACCATGGCCTCTAGCGTCTGTTGCTGGAGCACCTCTTATCCCTCATTCACACGGGGCGTCAGCATCCAACGCTTGACTGAAGGCGTGTCTGAAGTTGGGGCTGAAGCGATCAGCATAGCAGCATCAGCCAATGAAATTCAGTCAGCAATAGGCCACTGTCTAGCTGGTGTATTTGCATACAGCGATCTGATCTCCATCGGCGCTTTAAAAAAAGTTGAGCTAGTCCCAACTTCTGCAGCAAACAACGCCTCTGAAGCAGCACCGACGGATCCACAATGCAGTTCAGCAATGCCTGACATCACCCATTCAAAGTGAATGGCAAGCGTTGACGCTGATGCCCCGTGTGAATGGGGCGTTAGAGGTCAGAGAAGTGAGGTATACCTGCACAGAACTTTAGTAGCTGGCCTTTATTACGTACGTGATTGTGTGTGTGTATAGACACGTACCAGCATTAACGGCAGGCTGGTCTGTTAGAGCGTAGGCTGCAGCTTTGACGAAGGCAGACATGAAGCCCAGCTTGATGCCGTGTTTCTTCAGGAAAGCATCTTTATAATGTGTCCTCATCTCTGTGATGTTGCTGAAATGGCGGAATAAACACTTATCAGACAAGCACACCTCCTTCACAGTCTCAATCATCAGCATCATGCAAGAGGCACAAACTTGTCAGGGGTGAAAAAGGTGTATTCAAGCCCAAAATGATGCATTCCCCTGGCAAATTCTGACTTAAAGTTACTCTGAAGTAACCAGCAAGTTTTTATCTGACTGAAAATGAGCCAGACTTTTTCCAAAAGATAACAAGACGATGTAGAAGAGGCATCATTGTGGGGGGAAAAAAGTATTCCTCAGCTTTTATTTACAACTGAACAAAAACTTTGGGTACATATGATTAGCATTACAGGGGGAAATAAGTATTGAACATTGTCATGTTTTTCCTGGGATTAACATTTTTAAAGCAGCTGCTGACATGGAATTGAAGCAGATTTTGGTAAAAACCCAAACACCACAAACATAAAAACAAAACAAATCTGAAAAATGAGCTGTGTGTAATAAGAATGAAATGACAGAAGGAGAAAGCACTGAACCACTGAAATGTGTTTAATGCTGTGTATAAAAGGCTTTTATTGGTGCTGTCAGCTTACAGACGCCTCTCATATGGAGAAAGAAGCATCATGCATTGCTCAGGTGTGAGTTTCTCACAGACTTCAACAGAGTGTGTAAATCTTGATGCTTCTGTGGGTCTCGTCTATCAAATCTGAGCTTTATTCTGTATTCTCAATTGGATTCAGATCAGGTGATTGGCTGGGCCATTCTACAGCTTGATTTTCTTTCTCTGAAAGCATCTGAGTCTCCTTGGCTGTGTTTTGGATCATTGTCTTGCTGAAATGGGTTCATCTTCATCCTCCTGCTATTGTAGATGTTGGACTGAAGCAGCTGATAATCATTTACACTGAGGAACGGTTGCTGAAGAACTACTGCGAGATTTCAGCTGCTGTCTGGACTTTCACCGCCGAACTACACCTCCCTTTCTTCATGTGTTCAACACTTTACCCTGAGTCATTTAATTTTATCACACAGAACTTCATTTGTAAACTCATTTGATTCGTTTTATTTGCATATAAGGATTTGTTTTGGTTGTTACCAACATTCGGAGTGAAAACTTCAAGTCAACATCACCTTTAGAAATATGTTTTCTGAGGAAAATAAAGTGGTGGCTTGTTCAATACTTATTTCCCCTGCTGTATATATATTGTGTGTGTATGTATATATATATATATATATATATATATATATATATATATATATATATATATATATATATATATATATATGGGCGATTCATAAAATAGTGAGCACATTTTGCATCTCCAAGATAAATCTTCTATTATTTTTCAAAACCAAAACTTTTAAAAAATATTTCGAACAACACAAATTACATAAAGATGTCAAAAAACAAAACAAAACACTGTGATGACAGACTTTAAGCATTTTACAATCAGCAAAGCAACATTTCAGTTGTTTGACAATGTGCTGAAAACATGTGCCGCGAGCTAGGCATGGGACGATAACCGGTTTCAAGGTTTACCGTGGTTTGGAAAAGTCAAGGTTATAAAACTGCTTATTTGTAGAGCAGAAGTCAATGATTTATTTTAATTATTTAGCCTGAAACGTTTACCGTTTTAAAATATTATAAATGTTCCCTAAATATGTATTTTCTCATATGGGGTTAGGGTTAATGTTTTTTACCCAGACATTTGAAAAGAACTTACTTTAGAGCAGTAATCACAATACCGTGATACCATGAAACCGTGATATTTTTATCCCATTAATGCAAAGTCCCTAAAACACACATTTATATTGTAGACTTTATTTAGTAGAGAGTTTAAATCATACTTTGTGCATTTTTTTAATTGAATATAAAGTCTATCCTATTCAGCTAGATGGATAAGTTCATCAGGGTTTCTGCAGGTTTACAAATCTAAAACTTTAAGACCTCTTAATGCCATTATGAATGACTATATGGCTATATTATGACTATAGAGCTAAACCATTTACTATAAAGGGCTAGATCATAAAGATTTATATTTAAAAATACTCCAATTAATCAAATAATACTTAAATAATGTGTCAAAACAAGCAAACCAAACATACAATGTGTTTTTCAATACAACCTATAATAAACTAAATGTCAACAAGATAAAACAGCCAGTCCAGGTCAGCGTCTTCCCCACATATGGTCTATAAACACTTACAAATGTCATAGTGAGGAAGATAATTAAACCATATTGGTAAATAGAGTTTTGTTAAAAGATGGATTGTTGGTGACTGCATTGGCGCTGACCTGATTGAGTAAATTAAGAGCTACAAGTCAATATTTCAATGAATTTAAGACTTTTTTAGGCCTAAAATTTAGTTTTTGATATTTAATACTTCAGGACCCTGTGGAAACCCTAATTTATAAATTCATGCACATTTCTCTTAAGCATTGCTTTATGAGATAATCAAAACCGTGCATCAAAATATGTGTATGGAAACACCGCTAGTGAGGTTTAAACCACCAAAACAGCAGTCTGGGATGTTGTGCACAGCAGTCTGGCCAGGTTTCTGAGTGAAAAGGGCCACGAGACCGTAATTCTCTATTTTCCTGTCTCTAACACCGTTTATCCTCTCCGGTTTCTCCGCTAACGTGATTAGGACCGTCCCAAGACACGCGCTCTCAGAGAAAGGAGAGAAGACGCGATAAAAATCTTCACTTTCCACAGCCTTCAAATCTTGTTGGCCCGTCATAATAGCCCATATAGCGCTGGTGCGTCTCGCGGACATCTCAGGGGACGTCCCGACAGTCTTCCTGAAGCACATCGATGCCAACACGATTAACAGGAGAACACCAACCCCCCGACCGATGAAAGCCGATCCGGCCATTTGCGCTGGGGAGAAAATCCTCAAAGTGTCATCTTCAGGCCCGGGCGAGGGAGCCGCTGGACATTAACGTTTCCTTGTAAATTAATAAAGCCCATTTTGCCCTTCTTATCTTTGTTTTGACCAACATTAGGACCAAATATTTACATTGCGCGCTTTAAGTGCGGATCGGGTTGCAGAAATCTCTTCCTGTAGGCCAGATTCCAATCTATAACCGTTTTTGGACGGGCATTGCAGAGCTTCTAATCGGGTTTGGCCAATAAGCACAGTTTTCACAAGGCTGTCGGCAAGCTGTCATGAGTATCGGTGGTCTGCACTGAGGTAGCCTCTTCAATAATACGACATATCGTGATGGTCAACATGTATTATATTGTTATAGAGGCCACTTCAAAACTATACTCAATAGCTATTTATTAATTAAAAGCCACCTGTGATGCAAAATCAACTTTCGGAAGCTGTTAGAACAGAAGTGTGTGTTGTATAGTGTGTCCACAGTCATATTGGAGTGATAAAAACACGACAAGTCTCTTAAAATTTCCTGATGTTAAAAATAGGATCCAAATCCCAGTGATTTTAAGGCTGACCGACCTGATGGAGTGCGGTTCACCGCTCACCGAATTGATTGACAGGCATGTATTAACCTGTATCCATAGTAAGTGCATGACTCATCATTTCAGAAAGGCTTGAATAAACTCCACAAATACACCAAATACCCTTACTGTGGTGTTTTGACTCATAAACTGGATCTCTGCTTCCTCTGTGTCAGTCTATCACTGACTGCTGTTTATCTGACGCAGCAAGAGACACTTGAGAACCAGCTCCCATCAGTGTCGTCAATCTGGCAACCTGTGCTCGGGTTTGTTTTGAAACAGGTGTGCAATACCTAGATCAACCACTGGGTGTCAAACTTACATACTGCACCTTTAAAGAACGGTTTTCTGGGAGAGAAACAAACCTCATATCGACTTCATTGAAGGTGGTCAGCATGGCACAGGTGTTCTGCGCTTCCTTCAGCCGCTGAGCGATTCGCAGTCGCATGCGGTTCATCTTCACCTGAGAAGCAAAAACATTCATATTCAATATTCTTTGCTTTGTATATTGGACTCATATGCACAGTTTACCCACAACTCTGAATAAGTAAAAAAAAATTGGTCTAGAAGGGATACAGCATCAATATAGCAAAATGTTGGAGCCACTGTACAATTTTAATGAATATTTATACTTTACTGTGAGGGTTAGACAATAATAATATGCAATTTAATAAATAATATGAATAATACCTGGTATAGTTACTGTTTTTACCTTACTGTGACGGTTGGGTTTAGGGTTAGGATAGGGGTTGATGTTAATAAAACATAAGTAATGGGTAATATAATAAATTATATAAATAATTCTCATAAAATCCAGCCGCAGCTGGAACAAGTAACGAGAGAAAGTTTTCCACTACATCGATCGCGGATGTTTGGTTAAATTAGGCGGATTTAAACTGTGAAGAAAAATGATAATAACTATAAAAAAACGTGTCACTAAATATACTTAGACGGCCCGCCCAAGTAAAGTATAAGTGTGGCAAGCACTGAGTCAGACTAAATAGCATAAACTTTGATTAGCCGTCTTGTTTGTAATCTTTAACCCCGTAAAATAGGTTATCTTTGGCAGAGCGCCTTCCATTATTCATCACCGCATTATCTGATGACTGAATAGCAAATGAATCATTCGAATAGTTGTTCAAATGAATCTAATGAATCATTTAAAGCGGTTCTTCTAATCCAAATGATCCAGTCTAGATGCAGTTAATACTGCGCATGCGTGACTTAGAACTTTCGGTTTTGTTTTGTTTTTAAATGCATAATGTATAACAAACGGTTGTGTATTTAACAAAAACAAGTTATTTCGAGTCATTCAAGTCAAGTACAAGTCAAGGGCCCTATCATACACGCGGCGCAGTGTGGCGCAAGGTGCGGCGCAGTTGTCTTTTGGTAGTTTTAGCTTGGCGCAAGAGTGGTTTTGAGGCGTTGCGCTACGCTGTTTAAATAGCAAATGCATTAGCGCTCATTTGTGCGCCCATAGGCGTTCTGGTCTAAAAAGGAAGGTGTTCTGAGGCGGACCGCTGGTGCGTCGCTATTTTGAGAAACTAAAATAGATTGTTCATTAGACCAAAACAAACCCGGTCTAAACTCCAGCGCAGAGCTGCGCCTCGCTTACACACTGCTTAATACACACAAGAGAGCAACAGGCAAATATCTTTACATATGAAAACCTGTAAATATTAAGGATATATATAGCATATAATAAGAATAGATATAGAATATAAATATAAAGGATTAAAATATTACAAAACATATTATTTTCTAGCCGACATAAATATGAAAAATCACTGCTTTATGTCTTCTTCATGTCGGGAGGCTTTTTCAGTTCATTCATAACAATTTGCTTTTGTATAATGTTATTATTATTAGCAGTATTATTTATTATATCCATATTTATATCTGTTTTATTAAAAACAAGCTTAGATTTGCCCACCTGTCAGGTTTTAGACCATATGGGGCACAGCATGTGTTTTAGGATATAACTCAGGTTTTTGAGCACATTTTGTTATTATTGTTCATTTATTCGTTTGCTGGAGATTAGAACTGAATTTAGAAATAGTTTTGAAACTAATATTTGTGCTTAACAAACAAAATAATTTATTTATAGACTAATTGATGTCTGTGCGTAAAGGTTTCCCTATCCAAGAGCGAATATGAAAGTAGATCCATTATCTCTCATTCTCACGCAGTAGATGCTCTGTTTAATAGTTTTTTGTTAAAAAACTGTGAACTGTTTGCTTGTGAAATGCTCAGTTTTTCCACTTAGACTTACTTTGCGTCCTGTAAATAGCGAATGCGCTCTTGGCGTGACGCAGTTGGCTCTTAAAGGGAATGGGAGATGAGACTCTGATTGGTTTATTCTCAAAACACACCTATAACTCATTAAGAAAATAAACTCAACCCTTTTAGACCATGCACCACGATGCAAAGCGGATTTTCCCGTCCTTAAATTAGCAAAAACGCGTCCTGACACACCCTGAAAGCGTTTGCGCTCTGCGTTTTGCGCTCTGCGCATGGACCCTCAAAATAGAGCCCTTAGTCTCAAGTCATGACAGTCAAGTCCAACTCGAGTCTTTTTTTTAGATATTTGTCAAGCAAGTCTCAAGTCCTAAATTTTGTAACTTAAGACTGATTCATGTGACTCGAGTCCCTCATCTCTGCTACAATCTGTTTCGTTTGAATGAATCTTTATATGCATGTAAAATGTGTTTAGTTAATGCTCACACAGCACTAATAATGTGAGAGCATGTGATTGATGAAGAACAGAAAAGAACACAACTAACCTATATTTAAGTATACAGACATTCGTTAAACTTATTTCCATGACTTTTCCGAAACTCTGTGGGTTGTTCAGTTATTCCAAAACTTTTTCAGGCCTGGAAAATGCCAAGTCAAAATTCCATGACTTTTCCAGGATTTTCATGACCGTATGAACCCTGATCACATATACGCAACACACACACATAAACATTAGGTCTACACAAATCTTTATTTTGGAAGCAATTAATCTTCGCCCAGCAGTATTTCTTTTATTTCTTAAACTTATCATATTTTAAGTTTCTTTTATTCTTGTTTGTGTAAAACACTTTGAGATAAGGTTATGTATGAAATGTGCTAAACAAGTAAACTTGCCTTGACTAAAGCAGGAATTTGCCTTCAGAATACAGAGACACCTAGCTGTATGCAGCTGGAGAATGAAACATGGTGTAGTGCTGACTGAGTGGCTGTGTGTGTCTCACCCTGTGCTCTGATCGGGGAGCTTTAGCTCCAGTGTCTGCAGCAGCAGCAGCAGGAGCAGCAGCAGTGGGTTTGATGGCTGAAACTACAACAACACACACACAAACTCTCAGTTCCAACCTGAATGAAGAGCTCAACCTCATCTCTACTGCATCCATCTCCATCTACAGCACCAAGACGCCAGAAAAGACAGACAAATAATAAAGTAGATTGAGTGTACTTCTCATGTGAGCTGCACTGACCTGGTTTGGCCTGGATGGGCTGGGCTGGCACAGCGGGCACAGGAGGCATGCTGGAGGGTATGGGTCCACCCGCAGGGGCAGCAGCAGGGGCAGGGGCTGCAGGAGCAGGGGTCTCTGCTGCTGGAGGAGGAGCCGCCGCCGCTGCTGCCGTCTTCACCGCTCCAGCTGAAACAGTTCATCACACCACAGCTCAAACCACTGCACAAGCTCACGTTTACAACAACAACAACAACCATCACCACAGCCAGACCACACTGCAGTTCTGACGCTGGGTATTAAGGAGATGGAAAGTTTTAAAGGAGGTTTCTTCAACACTTCAAATCTCAACAGGGGGGAAGGGGTACTGTTTTTAACGTCAGCTAGCCCACTAAATATAACATCGGACAAATATGGACATGAACAAAAATTCATGTCTACATGTGAACAAAGGTTCATAAATTCATAAATTTTAGATTGTAAAAATGAAGCTAATAACTAAAAACTTGATTAGTTACCAATAAAATAAGTTTAATAATAATAACAAAAAACAATAATAATAACAACAATGACAATAATAATAAACAATAGCAATAATAATAATAATAATAACAACAATACTAATAATATTAATAATAACAACAAAAACGACAATAATACTTAACAATAGCAATAATAATAATAATAATAATAAACAATAGCAAAAATAATAATAATAATAACAATATTAATAATAACAACAATAATAATAATAACAACAATAATAACAATAACAATAATATCAATAATATTAACAATAACAACAATAATAATAAACAATAATGATAATATTATTAACAATAACAATAATAATAATAATAATAATATTATTATTAATAATAACAATAATAAATAATGATAATATTAATAATAATAATACCAACAATAACAATAATAATAAATAATAATAACAATAATAATAATTATAATAATAACAATAATAATAATGGGTTAATCAAAAAAATAAATATATCTTTTGACTGAACAAAATTAACCAAACCCAATAACAGAACCATATACAGCCAATGAAGTTAATAAATAAACACTTTTAAAGTGTTACCAGTTAAAACTCACTTTTTATTTTCAATTCAATTCAATTCAGCTTTATTTGTATAGCGCTTTTACAATGTAGATTGTGTCAAAGCAGCTTCACATAAATGGTCATAGTCACTGGAACAGTGTAGTTCAGTTTTATTTGCGGTTGGTTTGAATATCTCTAAACCCCTGGTAATGATTATATTGTGCTGAGAGCAGAAGGAAACGTGTCTGACCTCCTTTCTTGAGCTTGAACAGAGGAGTTCCTCCTTCCACTTTTCCTCCATCAGGAACGAGCAGCTCCTCGATCACTCCTGCAGCCGGAGAGGGGACCTGCACTGACGTCTGCCACACACACACACACACACACACTAAAGTCAATATATATATATATTTTGATGCAATATATCGTATGACAAAAAATAGGTATTATGAAATGGCCTAGCACAGCTTCATGTAAACTAAATATCCTCATAATTCTGACTTTCATTGCCTTTGCATTTCAGAATTGTGACACAGCAATTAGCAAATGTGTGTGTGTGAGTTCGACAGTATTTACATATAAATAATTATACCTTTTTATAATTATTATTAATAATGACAATAATAAATGTAATTATCATGTTTCATTAATAATTAACAATAACATTAAATATGAATACATAAAAATCTATAAATTATAATAATAATAATAAACACTTTTTACCTTATCGGTCTCGATTTCACAGACGACCTCATCCTCAGCGACTGAGTCTCCAACAGCTAAACAAACAAACACAAACACACACACACACACACACACACACACACACACACACACACACACACACACACACACACACACACACACACACACACACACACACACACACACACACACACACACACACACACACACACACACACACACCCAGATGAGACCTTTTTTTTAAACTTTAACATGTAAAGCATGAATAAGCAGCGATATCTCAAAGATTATGCAAAACTGAGTCAATTAAAATTTGGATTTGCATATGCAAAATGAACTAAAGTATTGTCCTTATTCTACAATGTGGAAATGCGCTCGTTTTCATTAATGTTTTAGAACTTCCTAGTCATTTCTCCCATAGGCAGTTGAATGAGAATAATCAAACTCTACAAACAAGTGTGTTCATGACTATACAGAAAAACTAGAATAATATCATAAGAAAATATCAGCTTGCAACATCAAGCAGCCTAACGAGCTGTATTTAATGTCTAAAAATGAATGGAAGTGAATGAGAGCGGAAGCCTCGAACCAAAAAGATTCACATAGCTGTGTCCACTCATACACAAAGAATAAGGTGAATATTAAAATAAATAAATCTTTACATGTATAGTTCACCTAAAACTGAAACTCGTGTCATCATTTACACTCTCTTATTCAAAACCATTATGAGGTTCAATCTTCGGTCAAAGACAAAAGAAGATATTTTGAAGAATGCTGGAAACCGGTAACCACTGAGTTTAATAGTATTTATTTTAGCTGCATGTCAATGGTTACACATTTTCAGCTGTCTTCAAAATCTCTTATTTAGTGTTCAACAAAATAAAAAAAAACACTTAAGGTAGCGGCATGGGGGCTCAGTGGTTAGCACTGTGGCCTCAGCAAGGTGGCTGGTTCGAGTGCCTACAGGGGCTGTTTCTGTGTGGAGTTTGCATGTTCTCCCCGTGTTGGCGTGGGTTTCCACCGGGTGCTCCAGTTTCCCCCACAGTCCAAACACATGTGCTATGGGAGAATTGATGAGCTAAATTGGCTTTTGTGCATGAATGTGTGTTTTCCAGTACTGGGTTGGGGATTAAAGGGCATCCGCTGCGTAAAACATATGCTGGAATAGTTGGTGGTTCATTCCGCTGTGGTGACCCCTGATAAATAAGAGACTAAGCCAAAGGAAAATGAATGAGCACTTGAGGTAGTGCATATAGTGAGGACATTTTGATTTTTGGGTGAACTATCCCTTTAATTTAACTCATATTTTTACTAATACGTTTAAAGCTGCAAGATTCATTTATAGCGTCGATTTATTGAAGAAACAAGGAAAAACATGTTGCCTTCTTACCTTTCTCCCACCTGACATCTCCCTCTGTGACAGACTCCGCAAACGCTGGGGTTTTTACTGTAATGACTTCATTCCCTGCAAACACACAAGACATTTAATGACTGTGCTGTGCACGAAACAGAAAATATCTTCAACACTTTAAAAACAATTTCTTTTATTTAACGGAAACGGCTATTTTCACAGCAGAAACATTTCATTGATAAATATACGATTAAAAACCCACCATCAAAAAAAATGAGAAAAGTATGACTGCAGAGGGGTTTAAGAAATCATCCAAAGAGATATTCAAGTGCCACCAGGTAATATTATATATATATATATATATATATATATCAGGGTTCAACGCTAAGGATTTTTTCTACTGGGCCGATTGGGCCAGTGGTTGAGATTTTTTACTTGACCTGCCCAAATTTTCACTGGCCTTTTCAAAAAAAAAAAGTTAATAGCCATTTTAAATAATGTGGCAAAATAATGTCTGTGATTCTAGAATTTAAACATTTTAAAAATGTTAATAAATGTATAATGAGCAAAATTCAAGGTTTTATGCAAACGATAGAGCAGTATGGAAAATGTGCTGGTATTTTATTGCAATTCTAAATTATTATTATAAAAATGGCTTGCCAAACTGACGGCAACTCTTTTTTTCCTTCTTTTTTTCCCAGTTTCAATTTTGTTCATATGTAATTGTCTGCTTCCAATACTTTAGAAACAGACGTTTTCTTTTAGCCTCATCGTTTGATGTTGCCATCTTTTCGCTGTACTTGTTGTTACCAGGTTATGAAAAAAAACATAATGTGCTCATCGTTACTGGCCAATAGAGGCCAGTAACAGTCCTGTTTACTGTCCCGAGCGTCTTCATGCTGGCCCTGGAACACCGGGCAGTCCTTATAGTTGAGCCCTGTTTGTGTGTATATACAGTTGAAGTCAGAATTATTAGCTCCCCTGTTTATTTTTTTCCCCAATTTCTGTTTAATGGAGGGAAGGTTGTTTCAGCACATTTCTAAGCATAATAGTTTTAAAAACTTATTTCTGATAACAGATTTATTTTGTTTTTGTCATGATGACAGTAAATAATATTAGACTTGATATTTTTCAAGACACTTCTATACAGCTTAAAGTGACATTTAGAGGCTTCACTAGGTTAATAAGGTGAACTAGGCAGGTTAGGGTAATTAGGCAAGTTATTGTATAATGATGGTTTGTTCTGTAGATTATCGGAAAAAAAATTTGCTTAAAGGGGCTAATAATTTTGTCCCAAAAATGTTTTTAAAAAAATGAATAACTACTTTTATTCTATCCGAAGTAAAACAAATAAGACTTTCTCCAGAAGAACAAATATTATCAGACATACTGTAAAAATGTCATTGCTCTGTTAAACATAATTTGGGAAATATTTAAAAAAGAAAAAAAATCAACAGGGGGCTATTGATTCTGACTTTAACTATATATATATATATACATATATATATATATATATATATATATATATATATATATATATATATATATATATATATATATATATATATATGATATGATTTTCAACATTAATATATTAAAAATATATCAAATTGAAAAAACATGAAAATTACTTTCTGGATTTATGGTCCCTTTAACCTCTTATTTATTTATAACCTCTTTTAGACACATGCATTTATCTTTCTCTTTGCTATTTGGGCTTATTTGAACCTAATTAAAATATAAACCTAAGCATCATCTTTTGATATTATGTACTTTTAGAAAAAAACTATGTCCATATATGTGGACTCGTGGTCAAATTTACATAAAACACTTTTTACTGATTTTTTTGTAATGCATATTTAACATAGAAATTTGACTACCAGAGAGTAAAAACAACATTTTTTCCCCCATTTTGAACAGTTTAAAATAGGGTTTGGGACATTTGATTTGTTGCAAAACAGTTGCAGGATGGCACTGCATGTCTGTAACAAAATATAAAACATTCAAAGTATTTTAAATAAACACTTAAGAGCTCAATGTGCTATCCATGTATGTGCACACTCAAGCCTTAGGAAGTTAATAAAGAACCGTCAGGAAAAAGGTGAAATGCTACACTCAGATGTCAGAATATCCTGTAGCGTAGAGACACTGATTCCACAACTCATTACATGTTAAATATTTGCAGTCATTTATGACAACCCTATAATAAACGGCTGCCTGCTTATTATTTACCTTATATTATTATTACAACATGATTATTCTGAGGTGGATAAAGATAAATATTGGTCACACTTTACAATACGTTTTCAATAGTTCATGTCTTTACTAACATGAACTAATATACTAGTACAGCATTAATCATAGTTCACGAAGGCATGATTAAAATCCAAATGCATGCTTGTTAACATTAACATTATGCACTGTGAGTAACAATAAACTTCATTTAACAATAGACTTGATTTTTCATTAATGTTAAGAAAGACGAGTGACGGCTGTAATAAATGCATTGTTAATGTCAGACCTCAGATAAGAGCACACAAATGAGGTTGTGCATCTGTAACACTGCATATCTCTGTGTGTGTGTGTGTGTGTGAGTGTGTGTGTTATACATACTGTGAGCAGCTGTGGTCTTGAAGTATCTGATCTGATAGACACTAGAGCGGGTCTCACACCTCCTGAAAAACACACAGTGTGGTGAGATCTTACATTTTATCCGCATCCATAGGAAATGTCAGAGCTCAGAGACACTCACGGGCTGTTCTGGAAGCTGACACACTGACTAGCTGCTATACCTGCGGGAAAAATCCGACACAGAACACATGAGCAGGTCAGAATGAGACTGATGCAGGGCAGCTACATTAATAAGAACAGCTGCTGACGAACAAACCAGGGATGCACCATATCATATATTATTTCATATACACAATCATATATCCCATCATATCAAATCGTATCTCATATAATATATAATATCATATACCAAATTATACCATTTCGTATATCGACTCATATATATCATATATATCACTTCCTATATTGGTTTTGGGTAGAATTAGGGACGTAAAAACTACTTTATAACAACTAAAAAAGCAGTTAATATTATAATAATAGGCAGTATTAATGGCATGAATTGTGACTAAAGTGTTACCAAAACAACTATATAGTGTGCTGCAGGTTAGGATGCAGTGCAGTTGACAGAGTCTCTCAGCTCACCTGATGTAGCCCGTCTTGCGAGAACACTGTTACCCTGAAAGAGGAAGATGAAGACATTAATGCAGTATAAAGTACTGGCGGTGCTGCCAGTGTAGTTTGCAAACGGTAGTATTGTCATTAACATGTGGAAAAGTCACTAAAATATTGTATATAATATGTATATTTAAATATTACTTGTATTTTTATAATAACAAAGGACATAAGTAACATGAGCACTTGTATTTGTTACACTATAAAACAGAGCATGGAAAAATTAAGGCATGAAAACTATTACTGCGCCAACCACCTGCACTATTTATTCATTCATTCACACAGAACTATCTGTGAACACTGACAGCAGCTCACATCAGTAAATGATAAGGTGCGCAGCACTGTCTTTGATTAATTCATGCAAAAACTGCTAAATTGCAGAGATAAATCCAGCTGCAGACACACACACTTTTCAGGACACACAATCTATGACGCTACATTCATGAGCGCACTTAAAATTGCAGGATATTCTACGAAATTTATTGAAACTGTACGATTTTCTAGGTTTTGTCTTTATGACTGAATTCAATCTGCGTGTTTGACATTGTGAGAAAAGAAAAATCATGGAGCACTAGCAAAAAATCCTAGTCTTCAACATATGGAGGACCAGGAGTACCGGTTAGAAACAAAACGAGGGGGCGGGGCGATGGATCGCGATGCCGGCTCAGCATTGTGTTGTCTATTGGCCATCGGCGATCACAGCTGATTCATGATAGACGCGGTGGAGAAAACTCCGCAGGCACGCGCTCATGTCTGTATCCAGAGGTATCGCTGTAACAGCCGAGAGGAGAGGAAAAGTCACGCCAGCAGGTCAGATGGGCCACAGTGAGAGAGAGAGATGGAGTACTTTCATTCTCTCAATCGCAGTGAAACAGGGGCTTGCGCTGTAAGTGTCAGTGAAAGACTGTCCAGCAAACACACACGCAGTGAAACTGAGTTTAAAGTAGTTGGAGTGTTGTAAATACTCTCGCTTGCCTCCATAGTAAGCTATGGCGACATAGCGCATATAAGATAAATGACGTCAGTACATAATAATCGGTTATGATTATTACTGAATCGATACCGATATTGTCCGCATCTGCATAGCCGTGCACCGAAGAAACAATTAATTTTGACACCCCTAATTTAGACAAAATCGAGCCATAAAGAAGTTAGTTTTAGGAAGGCATGGGCCAGTATAAGATTCTGATGGTATGATAACCTTGGATAAAAATATCACGGTTTCACGCTATTATGATTACTGCTCTAAAATATGCATATTTTTAAATGTCTGGGTAAAAAACAAATTGTTGAAAACAATATATTTTATTTTGTGAAAGATTTATAAATGTTTGGAGCAGTAAACACGTCAGTTTAAATAATTCAAATGAATCTTTGTCTTCTGCTGTCTTTATTTGTTTCAAAAACATTTACACAAAAACTTTAAGTTTTGGATTTTTTTCTGCTGGAGATACTGTTGTCCTAAAAAAACAAACAAAACAAATGTAAAAAAAAAAAAAAAAACTCTTACACAAAGCTTAGGAAAGGTATTACAGAAAATTTTGGTGGTATTATAACCTTGACTTTTCCAAACCTTGAAAACGGTTATCGTTCCATGCCTAGTCCTGACCCCAAAACCAGAAGAAAAAATAAATAAATTCAAAACAAAAACCCTGACGCACATCAGCATGTAATGGCAAAGCTTCAAACACAGCGACAGGCCATTCCTGAATGCGACTGAAATATCTGCGCCACATGATCCATCTATGTGCTCCATGTCAGAGATTCACACGTGCTGCAGGGTCAACACACACCAATACTACAGCTGAGGACTTTGACATACAGACGAATGAACTGTTCAGCCTTTGCTCCTCATGCACTTAAACATGAGCCGTTCCCTGATCTACTCTTACAACAGCTAAATAGACAAGATTTATAAGGGCTGCACGATATATCGCAAAAGTATCGTTATCGCAAAAATAGTATACACAATATAAGTGTGATAAATTACCTTTATTTTATGCATTGGTTGTTTATCTAAATCTGACCAACCAGATGGGTTCTTATCTTTAGCCCCACCTCCTCAGGAATTGCTGTTCTGCTATTGGCTGGAGCTGAACCCAACGCTGAAAATAATAGGCGGAGTCGAGATGACAGAAGAAGATGCCAACAGCCAATCAGAGTCAGGACATGTGCTGCAGGATTTCAATCATTCATAATGCTCTAAAGGCGAAATATTTGAGTTTTTTGGTGTGAATTAGCGTTAATTAAATGTTTTGATGTTAAAATAATTATATAAATGAATGATTTTAAAAACATAGTTAATAAAAATAGCATTTTTCTATACGGAAATATTATATTGTAAGAAATATCGTTATCACAATACTCAACATTAATATATTGCATATTTTCCCATTATAGCTCTAATATCTGTCTATCTATCTATCTATCTATCTATCTATCTATCAAATTAAATTGGAAGCACTAAAAATGTCTTTAAATATTAAGTCTGAAATTGCATGCGTGACTTCAAAACAACATTAGCACTATTTCATTGAATGTAAACAATGTTAGTGATAGTCATCGGCTGCTAATATGATTTAGAATTTGCAAACAATCCTTTTCTGGAATCATATCAAGAAGGTGAAAGTCTGATTGTGTGAATATAAAACCAACTTCACCCAAACCATTAAAAGCATGAGAACGCGCAAGAGGAATACAAACCGAGCAAACACACTGGCATTACACAAGTCAGAAGTCATGTAAATGTAGTGTGTGCGTTTTCACAGAGGACCGATCACCAGGTAAACTTTAGAAGGGATACAGCTGCTGATACCCTGTACAACAATAATGAATATTTACATTACTGTGAGAGCTGGGTTTAGAGTTGGGGTTGACATTATTAAAACACGATTTATGGATAAAATAATAAATAATATTAGTTATAATTGCTGTTTTCACATTACTGTGATGATTGGGTTTAGAATTGGGGTAACTTAGACATTAATAAAATACAATTAACGGATCATTTAATAAATAATATGACTAATACTCGGTATAACGACTGTTTTACATCACTGTGAGGCTTGGGTTCAGGTTTTGGACTAAGGGTAGACGTTAATAAAATACATTTAATGGAGAATTTATTAAATATTATAAATATCACTCTTTAACTACCGGCCGCAGCTGTATCCCGTAAAGCAGCAGCCGCCCAGCCGGATGGTCGCTCTGACAGCAGCCGCTCCTCTGTGACCTCTCGCCGGTGTCCAGTGCGGCTTTACCGCGTGTCAAACACCTCATGTAGCACACGGAGCGCCGGTGTGTCCGTCATGTGTGTGTGTTTATGTGTGTGTGAATACTCTGTTGCTCGAGTGTGTTTATGTGTTGCTTGGTGTGTGTCCTGCTGCCCTTGGGCCCGCGCGCGGCCTACCAATGCCGTTACCGCGCGCGCTCCCTGTCCCGTCACGTCTCTTCGAGGAGCGCGGCGCTCCCGCACACACGTACCTGTCTCAGGGCGGTGATCGAGCGGCCGAGGCTCCGGCTCAGACAGCGGGAATGACACAACATGTCGTCGGTGAACCGCGCGCACTGCAGCTCTCACGGCACAGCAGCGGAAACAGCGCGAGCACACGTCGGAAGCAAAGCGGAACCTACCATCATGAGGTGGAGCGGGGGGAGCATGAATGGAACGTGCCATTGAGCTGTCATTCTGTGCACCGTGACATTTAAACATTTAAATTATTTTTGATTTGTTTCTTAGTTACTATATTTTTTATGTATTTATTGTAATTATATATATATATATATATATATATATATATATATATATATATATATATATATATATATATATATATATATATATATATATATAATATTATTATTAAATAAAATATTTAATATGTAAATATTTATATTTATGTAATTAAATCAAGAATGTACTTACTTTTGGCTCTGTCCTCTTATTTTTCTTTTTTTTTTGTCTTACTTGTAATTAATTATGTGTAGTTTTTATTTATTTTATTTATATTATACTCATTTATGTATATATATATATATATATATATATATATATATATATATATATATATATATATATATATATAGTTTTTTTTTATCAATTATAATTTATTATTCTGTGTTGATATGATGTAATAATATTTTATCAGCTGTTTCATAATTTGTATCAAACTAAGTCACATAATGTTAGAAATAAAATGATCTGTATTCCCTGTTACTACTGTTAATGAAATTAGAATGGGTTTCCATGCAAAAAATTACATAAAATGTAAATATAAGTGTGCAGCAAAAAATTGTTAAATCTATTTTATGTATAATTATTTTTTAAAATAAATAATTCTGTTTACTGTACAAAACAAAATACAAATATTAATGCACTTGCTTATAATGTACATTCACATATCCCCTGCATTTCATTAATAAAACTGTCTGTGATGCTATAGCACACTTGGAAAAAACTAAATATTCAATTAGAGGTTCAAGCAAATTCTCATATTTTAGGAGTTATTAACCCTTAATGTCATATTTATTTTCTGGAAATGTACTTTGTGGGGAATAATGTGACTCATCTTGTATGTAACTTTAATTTCTCTTTTTCTTTTCTCTCTTTGTCCAGACCCCTTAGGATTGTGTCTGCTAGCTTACCATTGTAAGATAGCACAGCATGATCCCTGATTGTATCACCCATTATTGTTGTCTATTTATTTATTTATTTTATTTTATTTTATTTGTTTACTTGATTTTCTTATTTTATACAATTTTGCAGTTTTTTCTATTACTACTTTTTCTTGTCTTTATTATTTTATTATCATTACTGTCAATAGGCAGTGTATTTAGGGTTTGTTGAAGTGGGTTTATATTAAAAATATATCTTTAAAAATAAAAGGAAAAAAAAAACTTTTGTCTATGACTGTTATTTACCTTTTAAGGGCACTTTAAATATCTTTACTTTTAAATATCTTCATATACAGTTGAAGTCAGAATTATTCACCCCCCTTTGATTTTTTTTTTCTTTTCTTTTCTAAATACTTCTCAAATGATGTTTAACAGAGCAAGGAAACTTTCACAGTATGTCTGATAATATTTGTTCTTCTGGAAAAAGTCTTATATGTTTTATTTCAGCTAACATAAAAGCAGTTTTTAATTTTTTAAAACTCATTTTAGGGTAAAAACTATATATATATATATATATATATATATATATATATATATATATATATATATATATATATATATATATATATGTGTGTGTGTGTGTGTGTGTGTGTGTGTGTGTGTGTGTGTGTGTGTGTGTGTGTGTGTGTGTGTGTGTATATAATTTTTACCCTAAAATGAGTTTTAAAAAATTAAAAACTGCTTTTATTTTATGTGTGTATATATATATTATATTTTATTTTTTTTCTCTATTATAGACAAAGACTATAGAATACACATTTGCAGCCAGAAATTAACGACAATTAATTATAGAATTTATTAAATTATCCATTCATTGATTTATCATCAACGTCTACCCCCACTCCAACCCTAGACCCAACCACCATAGTAATGTAAAAACAGTAATTATACCGAGTATTATTCATGTTATTTATTATATTACCCATTAAATAGTATTTTATTAATGTCTACCCTCACCCCCACCCCAACCATAAACCCAACCCTTACAGTAATGTATAAATATTAATGTTATACAGTGTCACAAACATTATACTATACTGACCATAGACTGTAGCTGTCTCCCATCTGAAATATAGTCACCGACAGACAGAAGTTTGCATATTAATATCAATCTGTGTTTGCAGTTTGTGATTGGCTGGTATGTTAATGAAGGGCGGCTCTGGCCGCGCCCACTCAATGTAGTGCGCTGAGAGCAGGCGCCGAGCTCACAGTCTGTCAGTCAAGCGTCTCCAGAGCAACAGGTAAGCGCGGTTTCTGCTCTCCTCCTCATGTGCTTTAAGTTTCTCCTCAGAAATCTTGACTAAACTAGTTATCGTACAGAAATGCTTATCACACATTAATTGTTTAATTGAGTAATTGTTTAATAGCTTATAATGATAACACTAAAAATGACAGGCGAAAGACACGTATTAAGAAATGTTTCATATTAATTCTACGTGTTTACATGTTGAAAGTGAATAAAGTATGTTGTATATTGACAAATTACATATATAGGAAGTGTTTGTTATGTTAAATACAGTCTAAAATGCACTGTGGAGAGATTCGTAATACATTCAGTTTATTTTCTCGTCGATTTTTAATGTTACTCTGTCTATTTTGTTGACGTACTAAGTATGCTTTTAGGTTTATACTATACTATAGCTTTGTTTTTGATAAAACAGAAGCATTTTCATGTATAATTAATAAACAAAAAACTCAATTCTTTTGAAAAAGAACACATCTAGGTATTGATGTATAAAACATGATAATGCTCTTTATAAAAATAAAAAAAATAACAGCAATGATACCACCTATACAGATTAAAAGACCTAAATACAGATTGAAAGACGTAAATACAGACCTAAATACAGATTAAAAGACCTAAATACAGATTAAATGTACAGTTGAATGTGTACACTTAAAAAATACACCCAAACTACTTATTTATAATGTTTTTTAAGCAACACAATTTAAAGCATGTTTTTGGGGGGAGGAAAACGTATTTGTTTTATGTTCAATCCGCTTAAATTTGTAAAAATGATTGAGTTAAATTAACCGATTTGTGTTAGGACAACATGAAGGAATTAATATTTTCATCCTCTCATCGTAAAAACTACACTGATCTCTAAAAATGTCCCTCAGTATGAATCTTCTTTACTCTTTCCTGTGAAAATTGCTTGTAAATAATGTAGTGTTAGGACAACATGAAGGAATTAAGTTAACTTATTAGTTTTTACAAATATAAGTCGATTAAAAATAGAACAATTAGGTTGCCCCCGACCAAAAAAATCTCAATAATTGTGTTGTTTTAACTCATTTTACATTAGTAGTTTCATTTTTTAGTGTACAGTGTAATAGTATTTAATATTAATACTTTCCTCACACTGTTTTCTCCACAGAGTATCAAAGATCAGCAGTTTACGGGCTCATATTCACCTGTGAAATCATGAATCTGAGTCCACCTGAAGCGAACATGCACAAAGCGAGCGACGCCGGCTGCATGGAGGTCAGCAAACCCGATCATCTGCTGCCGTGCTTTCGCAGAAGCGCATACGAAGAGCCTCTCGCTTCCTACCACAGCGGCTCCATCATCTCTCACCTCCTGCGCAAAACCATCCACAACAAGCTGACGTCGCTGGACAGCAGCCTCCTGTACCTTCCGTCTACTAACGCTGACTCCGAGTCCAACACGACGGATGATTTCCCAGCAGAGGACCAGAGCGGCAGTGAGGATCTGTCTGTGGGTGTGGACGCTGAGCGGCCTCTAAATGAACACCTCCAGGCCAAACGCGCCCGCGTGGAGAACATCATACGGGGAATGGCAGGTTCACCAAACGCCAGGACACACGGAGAAGCAGATAGCGACTGTAGAAAGGAGAACAAGCGGAAGCAAAGGCTCCCGCAGCATCAGGAACCCAGCAGAACCAAATCCAGCAAAGACGAAGAGTGCCACAAGCTGAAGGAGCAGCTCCAGAGCATGCAGCGCCTGCTGCATCAGCTCCAGGAGAAGATCTCGCACGTCTACGATCAAAACTATCTGGAGAACGAAGAACTTGATGATGACAGGAGCGAAAACCAAACCTTTGGTTTCAGCTCGGATAGAGCGGTGAAGAGTTTCCAGGAGACTCTTAAATGCGAGCTGAGCAGAACTGTGAGCGAAAGCATCGATATGGTCTTCAAGAAGCTCTCCAAGAGTCTCCCGAAGCAGAGTCCGCCGCAGCACGCAGAAACCGAGAACGCTATCAATCCGGACTCTCACTCGGAGCAGTCGGATTCTGAGGAGATGCCCAAAAGCAGGAGCTCGTTTGAGGATCAGACTGAAGCGCTATCCCTTGTGGTTCGCAAGCCCTCCTTGAGTCAGGGTGTGAAACGTCCCTTTCCGCTCCACCAGACGCCGTTTCAGTTCGGCTACAGCGCGCCTCTGCATGACAGCCAGATCCTGGAGCACCTGCTGAAGTTCGGCCCTCACTCTGCGTTCTCTGCGCTGCCCTGTTTGCCTGCAACACTGGAGAGGGCGTCGCCGGAGTCTCTGGATCACCCGTGGGAGAGCGTGAGGTCAAAGGTCAGTGGCGCGGCGGCAGCGGGTCACCAGCTCCAGCTCCAGCACCAGCGCGCAGCTCCTGCAGGACTGCTGGCCGTGGACTCGCTCTGCCTGCCGCATGTCAAGATGGAGGTGGCAGATCTGCAGAGCATGGCCGACCGCAGCTCCTACATGGCCCTCAATATATCCTTTCACAGCTCGTTCACAAAAACATGGAAAGCTTGATGTGCTGAGTTTTGTGTAGGCAGCAAAATGGCTTGGACACCAGGGATGCACCGATACCATCCCGTTACCAAAATCCTGAGTATCAACCGATACAGATCTGATCTTGATACTGTGTTTTTTTATAAAAGCATAGTGCAGTTTCAATAGTTCTGGTGCTAAACTTAAATAATAAATCTTC